TGAAGCTCCCCAAAAAACCTTAAATCTTCCGGTACAGTTATATTCGGCCTTTACTAAAATGTGGGCCCATATAACCCATTTTCAATACCGAAAGTCTTGGTAAAGCGAATGATTAGAGGCATTATCTGGTAAACCAAATATTTAGATGCCTTAGGGTCGAATCGGCTTTAATATATTCTCGAACTTTCTCAATGGGTAAGAACCACACCTTTCTTGGCATGGAGATGTGGTTGTGATATAATGGGCCACTTTTGGTAAGCAGAATTGATGCAGAAATAAATCAAATCTAAGTGAAATTTTGTCAACCTACATCATTTCGTTTGGAAACTAGTGGAATTTCCACAGACGGACAGACAGACTGAATAACATCGCTAAATCAACATAGAATTTTTTGTGGGGTTTAAAATTTATGTTTGGAGGTGTTAAAAACGGAATGCCAAACTTAATTCTTCCTTCATGCCGTGGTGAAGGGTTTTAAAATTAGAACTTTGAGCTAAAATATTTGGAGGAAATTCAGAAAATTTAGAATTTTACCAGTTTTTATTTTTTTAATTCTAATATTTTTGCTCTTATCATTTTTTTTTTTTGTATTTTTTTTAATTCTAATATTTTTGGTCTTTTCGAAATGAAATAAGGTGTATTTCAATTTTCAGTTTACACAAATCTTTGAGTCCTGAAATTTGAATGGTTTTTTCGAAGTTTCCTATACTTTAAGAGACTAAATAAGGGGTTTATATTTTTTTAGAAAAAGCTAAAGAAAAACTAGAATTTAAATTTTCATTGAAAAAATAGAAAATTTAGGCTTTTACCAGTTTATTTTATTTCATTTATTCTTTTCCATTTTTTTAATTTTAATACTTTTGGTCTCATCCAATTTTTTTTTGTTTTTTTTTATATTCTGTTATTTTAGAAATAGTGTCAAAAAATAAAAATATTCGTTTCGAATATATATTGGGGTGTGTCTCAATTTTCAGCTCACATAAATATTTGATGTCCTGAAGTGTAAATGGGGTTTTCAAAGTTTCTTACACGTCCACAGACTAAATATGGGATTTTTCCTTTTACGAAAGAGGTAAATTGGAATATTTTTTAAAATCAATTTTCATTGAAATAAAATCTTTCCCTTAACACGAGTTTTAGTTTTCTTTAAGAAGTTCCTCCCAAAAATTAAAGTTCTGTCAGAGTTTTCTTGCCACTGTTTTGTTTAATTTTAAAATTCTTCAACATTACGATTCGCTGAGCATTGCTGTCACATTTTACGCAAATGTCAATTACCTGAAGTCTCTATTTCTACTCCCTCACATGGTAATTTTTTTCTCTTGCCATTTGTTACGTCTTCCGAGGAAGGGCCCTACCATGTGGCTATTGCTGTTGTCTATCTTCTGGTATTCATTACAAAGTGTGGAAAATGGAAATTGAATCCGAACAATCAGTCGTAGACTGATGAGTGAAAATTCTATATGACCACGTTCCGACGAAATAGAAGTAGACACAAGGATACCATAGTAAAGACCGAAAACCTGAGCCAGCCAGACAAACAGACTGGCTGGCTGACTGACTGACTGGTAGTTGATAGCAGAGGTGGAGGTGGTGTTGGTCTCAAATCTACAAAACAAAGGAAAACACGAAACGAAAAACACCTACAACGGCCAGTCCGGCCAGCGTTTGCGACAATTATAGTTTCAGTCAGCAATTCCAGATATTTGCTGGCCAATGTGATATTCAATAATTAAATGTTTAAATGCAAACGTAGTCAAATAATGGGCAGAAGCCGGTTGGCAGTCCCATTTGTTCGTCCGTCCGTCCGGGCGACATGCGACAGACAATTGTGGAATGAAACCAACGTGTCAATTTTCACGAGTGGTCAATTTGCAATGCAGGGGCTTCCCTGTAACACAAACACACACACACACATGGGATAGCTACAGAACAACAAAACAAATGTTCGTTCCAGCTACCGGCCAGCTCGACAGCAGCGGCAGCAACATGTTTTTGTTCGTACATGTCCATGGAGGGAACATGGAACAAGAATGCATTTAACTGCAATTTTTATTTCGCCTTTAAAGATATTCAGTGTCACGTCCTTAAATTACTTATAATCGTTTGTTGTTTTTGTTGCAAAAAACAAAAAAGTGTCCTTCTTCAATCCTTCATTGTCTCTGGTCATGTTCACAGGAACAATAACACAAACGGAGACAGACAGACGGACAGACAGAAGAAGGCCCACCAAACGGCTGTGTTTGTTTTGTCATTTCTGTTTGAACAACTGATCAAGGCTGCAAAATCTCTGCCCAAAATGACATCTCAATTTCTGGCTGATCCAGCAGCGATTGTTACAACAAATCCAACAAATTCCCAAATAGACCCCAGGGCATTGATCATCTGGGCCTTGGCTGAATGAAGGGCCATTTCAATGCAATACTCCATAATTATGTCATATCATCAACAAACAAACGATCCGAATCTGCCTCCCCAAACAAAACCTGGCGAACGTCCTAAATAAACATCACGAGAAATTTGGATTCGTGTTTATTTAGCCACATTAACAACCGGCTAACAATGGCAGCAGCCGACAGCGACAATTGTCACAAATGAAATTAAACGATTTATTGTCAAAGGACAACAAATTTATGGAACTTCAATGGCTGGCTAACATTTCTGTCGCTTGCGTTTTGTGAGAGCAACGGAAATCGGCAATGCAAACAAACATAACTGCCGTGAGGAAATTCTTATATTTTTTTGCCACTGCCATTTGAGGGTTAATTTTTGTTTTTGGTGTTTACCCAATTTATTTAGATGTAATATATTTTAATGGTTACATTTACACATGTCACTCGCTTCCCTTTTCCTTTTTTATACACCAATGTAATGTTGCCTTTCATATATATTTTCCCGGTAATTTGGTGAAAAATCATTTAGATTTTTATGGTTTCCTTTTAATGTATCACACCATTTGTGGCACTGGCTTTGGTTGGTAGTCCCCTTCATCACTTACTTTTTCCCCCTCATTAGCAAATTGTTGGTCTATATTTTCCATATGTGCCATATCACTCAAATTGGTGTTTGCTTTTGGGATTTTAAGGATTTTTGGTAACTTCTGTTTTCTGGGCGAGGGGTGTGAGTCAGGAAGCTGGCTAAGTGAGTGATAAATATGTATCACAAAAGGCCAAGGCATATGTTTGGTTGGTAAAATTACACACCATTTGAGAGATTTAGTGATTGATGAGGGGAAATGGCTGAGACAAATTACTTTCAAGGGCTGAGCATTTTTGGGCATAATGTGGCAAAGTTAAATTAATCCTTATCAATATAATAACTTTTATTAGAGAAAAACACTCCCAGGCAATGAAATAGGTCAAAATATTCCTTAAAGGCAATTAAACAACTTTTTATCAGAAAAAAAAAATAATAATAATAAAATAAGTAAGACATTAAAATCAAAAGTAAACTTTTAAGATATCCATAGAAAAGGCGCCTTTCAGAGTGTAAAGATATAACCCCACTAGAAATTTGACTAAAAGCAGCGATGCTCAAGAACAATAGCTCGCTCACCGGGTAATTTCTCTTAGCTTTTTGAAATCATCAACAAATCGGTGTTAAAATTGTGAATTATTACCTTCATTACTACTTTTGGAATAAACTTCATATTTAAAAACAATTAAAATAAATCGTAGAATAAAATGAAAAAGCGGAATATTAATTCTCTTTTCAATGTTCTCTTTTGGCTACTCATGTGCCACGATTTGGAGAAGGGCTGATAAAAGTCATCTTCTTATAAGAATAATCCAGCCCTGCTTATAATATATGCGTTAGTAGAGGTAAGAGATTTTTACGCCCTGGCAAATGAATATCGGGAGAGAACACGTGTGTGTGCTGCACTGAACTTAACCAAATTTTCCTAACAAAAACAAACGTTGACTTTTTTTCTTTGAAAAAGAAAATATACAAAGAATAAGTGTTGGCTATGCACAGTTTTTTGCATTTAATGAACACAGTTCATAAAACTAGTACTAGTAGTACTTCAGCAAATAAAACATTACGACGAGAGTTACTATTGAACAATATCCACAATATACTGCAACTTTGTGAAAAAGATATAGAATTATATATATATATATATATATATAGAGCCTAGGGTCATTTGGGTTGAATTCCACGAGGAATTTGAAATATTTAAAGTCTTATTCCTCTTCTGAACCTGTTCCTATTTTTCTAACAAGACAATAATTGCATTTTTTCTTTAAAACAAAATTGTTATAAAGAGAAAATGCTTCCTATGTACAGTTTTTTGTATTTAATGAACAAATTTCATAAAACATTTAATACTGGTTAGCTGTGTATGTATGTGTCTGAGAGAGCAAGAGAGAAAGTGTAAAACAATTTGGTGAGGCTTTTTGTTATAGTCTATTCGTTGTGTCTGTGACTTTAACGCAGAGAGAGAAAGAGAGTAAAATACACTTTTGATAGTTTTTCTTTGTTGTGAGAGATTTTACTTATTCTCTTTTTTTTTTTGATTAACAGAAAATAATCTAATAATTGTTTCTGTTGAAGATATTTGGAAGATGTTTATGCGAATTCGAATTGAACAACACATATTAAGGCAAGTGCAATTTTTACACTTTTTAACTTTGTATTTGTCTTTTAGGAGTTCAATGTGATTTTTTGAAAAGAGACGCAAAATGAGTGCAAATAGTAGTGTAGTAGGTAAAACTATGAATTTTGTTTTGGAATCTATGAAAAGCTTACATATTTTTGGAAAATTTATGAATAATATTTAAATATACTATTTCAAGTATATTTAAAATAAAATATTTATAAAATCTTTTGCATCATTCTAGAATTATAAAAAGTTTTCGAAAAAAATATGGTTAATCCCAATATCTCAAAGTTTCTCTATTAAAAATCTGTTACTACCGTAATTTTGAATTACGTGCAAATCGTTTAATATATTTGCCAAAAAAAAAAAAAAATGATAAAATTCTATTTTTCTATTTCATTAGGTTTTTACCGACCGAAAAACAAAAGGTTACACGACGAGAAAACGAATATGACAGTTAAGTGCAAAAATACAGTATATTTGCACAAATGCCATGACAGGTAAGTGAAAACGTACTGTATTTTTGCAAAAATGCTACTTCAAACTAAAAAGAAGTTAAGGAATGATTTGAAATTCAGACAAAATTAGTTATTCGTATAGAAATTTCGATAAAATTCAAACTCTTTTAGAGTAAAAACTATAAGAGAGAAAAGAGGAATTATCCTTCTTGGAAATGCGGATAAAAATATTATTTTTTGTCGAAAAGAAAACAAGTCATTCTATTTTGTTCTTTTTCTAATCTAAAAAAATCATTTTTAACTAACATTGAATAAGTTTTTTCAAGCTCGAGGTCTAATGTTGTTAAAATATTTTTTTATTTATCGATATTTCATATAAAAAAAAAATAAAAATATCGATAAATAAAATATTTTTAACAACATTACCCCTCGAGCTGGAAAAAACTTATTCAAAAAAAAATATATATATATATATTAGCTAAATAACTTTCAAATTAAAATTTCTAAAATGTAATATGACATTTTAAAACTCATTCAAATTGAAATCTATTTTTTTAAATTCCATTCTTTGTCAATTCAATATCATTTAGAGCATCTCAAAGTGCGCTAAATTTTTGTGTTTACCAAAAGCGTTAAATTTGTTAGGCTAAGAAATTCCTGTTTCGAAATTCGTCAATGATTTTTTCCAAATTATTTCGGTTAGCTAGTCTCTTGAAAATATTAGGACTTCATATAGACCCATCTGAAAGCCATAACTATTCCCCACATTTTTTAAAAGCCACACACCCCAATACTTAAATTTAATAACAAAAATTAAACTTTCAAAACATCGCCTTACCTGTACTCTGGATTCGGGTAGATTGATTTTCAGTGCCACCTCCTCGCGCATAAAGATGTCAGGATAACGTGTCTTGCCGAATAGAGATTCCAATACGTCCAGCTGGGCACGGGTGAATGTGGTGCGTTCACGTCTCTGTTTACGGGTGTTGACACCTGCGGGGGAAGAGAAGGGACAAACAAAAAAACAAACATTCATGGGTTAGCAAACGTTAATCCTGGCTACTCAAAAAAACGGCCTAACAATGTGATGAAATTGATAGTTTTGGACTAAAGAACAACAACAAAAATTCACTGAATGGCTGGCCAACTAACTGGCTTTAAAAAGTCAACTGTGAAAGCAAATAAAAAAAAATTATTAACTTTAAAAGCCATGACATTGGAAACAACGAAACGCAACAAAAAAAAAAACTAAAAATTAATTAATTAAGAGATTAATAAGCAATATCCTGCTGGTTTATTATGGACAACAACAACAACAAAGAAAAACTCGTTGCAGGCCCTGGAATGTTTAGTCTACGGGAAAAAAGGATAATAACATTCATGGACAGACGGACAGACACACATTCATACATATTCATTTGTTCATTCAGTGAAAAAATGGCGTATATTTTCCCCACACTCACTCACAATGGAAAACCATGGAAAAATGTCCCGTGAAAAAAAGGTGGCCTGATGATGACGAAAAATGGGGTAGGGTATAAAACAACAAATCCCATTGTTGTTGTTGTTTCTATTGTTATTATAATACCAAACAAAGAATTGCGTGCTGCGTGAATGGCAAAGCAACCCCTTAAAAGTTTCGTGGCGAAATTTTCCAACCCCTATTGTGTGTATCTCTCACAACAACAACGAAAAAAGGAAAAATGGAATGGATTCGGGTTGGTGGAAATTTTTTCTCTCTTGTGTACATAAGCGCTGGAGCTGTACATACCAAGGTATGTATATAAAAGCTGTATCTGTGTGTTTTTGGTTATAACAAAAGGCATTCATATGTGTGTGTGCAGGAGGAAACAAAAAAAGGTACTGCTCGTTCGTTTTTTAATCCGGCGACGACACCATTGTTTTGTCACCCTATCCCTTCTTTTCACAATTCGATCATCTAATCTGCCGGTCGGCTAGACGGCCGTCGGTGGTTATGCGAAACGCGGCAATCTGTCTTTTTTTTTGAAAATAGTTTTTTAATGTCGTTGTTTCAGGTTTTCATGTTACAGGCTCCTCGTAAAAAAGGGTCTCCCCGTTCGTACGTGCCTACTGCCGGCTACGTAAATTAATGCCTTTCTTTTGTGGCAGCCATGGCATAGCTGTAGCTCAATTTACAGCTGGCAGAAATCACAGTTTGAAATCAAATGAAAGCAAGAAATGTTGATGGAATTAATTTGAAGTTTATTAGAGATGGCGTTGCCGATGACTGGTTGTTGCTACAACTCCGAACTAAAAAAGCCAGATGTGGTTAGTTTTCAATATTGAAACTCCGATCGCTCGCTCGCATAGGAGAAGCCAAAAAGGCAATTTGTCTGTGCAGCTATCCATTTTTTGCATTTTGCGACGGCGCAATGTAAATGTGACATTTACGTTTTGCTCCATCATGGAAATGATGGTCGGAACAGACGCTTTGCGCCACAGAGTCTTTATTGTCAGTCAGTGCACGCAGTCGCTCATTATTCATTTTGACAATATTATTGATAATGATGCAATCTGTTTCTCTTAGCCAGTCAGTCAGTCAGCCAGCCAGCCGGCGAGGTAAACTTCAAGCTCACTCGCTCGCTTCATATGAACAAAATAGTAGATAACAAGTCAATGGACCAAAATTGTGATCAAGTCACAACTCCTAAACTGGAATATTGAAAAATAAGAAAAAAAAAAAAAACGCTTTTCATGCTTCACGGTTTTGTGTTGGGATGCTTTCGCCTGATATGAGCAGTCTTGCACTTGATGTCGTCTCCAAAGAGACTGGGTGACATCGTCTGCCTCAGGATGTTGTTTATTTTTAACCAGGCTTTTATGTTTTACATTGAATGACCAAGTTTTGTTGTTGTCGTTGCTGTTGCCTTTTATTCCCAAGCGGTTTCTTTCTCTTCCAAGTGAAATCTCCATGTCATCTTTACTTAAAATTGAGTTATCAGTTGGTCTGTTTATCATTCATTCATTCTGTTTTGTCACGACAAATCATTTGTCATTTATGTATCGTTTCTTATGTTAAACAAAATGCATTTTGAGATTTTTTGTTTTCTTTTTCTTCTTTGGTTTTGGAGTTTTGAAAAATGAAGGTGTTTTTTTAAGAAAAAAAAAATATTTGTTTGTGGGTGCCCAGCAACGATTTTTAAACTCAGAAAAAATTTTGATACATGAATTTGTTAAAATTTTTAGGTTAATAAAGAAGAGGATTTTTCGAAAAATAAATTATGATGTCAATCCATGAAAGACTAACGATATTGAAATCAGTGTTTATAGCCGCAAGTTATGTTTAAATATTTGAAATTTTGCTATTTGTTTTTGGAAGATGAATTAAAGCTCCTGAATTATAAGCCAAAAATTGAATTTCAAAATTAAAGTATTTTTTTTAGAAACGTTGTTATGTCTTCGATCCCTTGCCCCAATTTAAGTACCCTTCACTATTTTAAATAATTTTTTTAATACGACTTAATCCTCGTCCTATTTTAAAAAAAAATTCAATTTTTTTTCTAAAAAGTTAAAAAAAAAATGTTCTGGAATATATTCTTAACATTGAGGGAGAGACAAATAGACTTTGATAATTAAAACAAAAATCGAAACCTATTCTATTTCAAAAAATTAAATAAATAAATAAATAAATAAATAAATAAAATACGGCTACCTAAACTTTAGCGAAAAAAATTAGTTAAAAGCTTCTTTGGACCCGTTGAACCAAATTCTAATATTGAATAACTCTAAAAATAGGATTTTCAAACTCCTCAAAAATTTAACCCATTTTTCACCGAGGTATGAATGAATTCTCAAAATCGCCTCAATTATTATACCCTCCTATTCTATGTCGATTTAGCGATGTCCGTCTACCTATCCGTCTGCCCGGCTGTGGAAATCACTCTAGCTTCCGAACGAATTGAAGTAGATTGATAAAATTTTGCTCAAATGTATGTTATGGCTGCAGGACTTTTGGTATTGAAAATGGGCCATGTAGGTCCACGTTTTGGTATAGCCCCCATATAACTGTACCTCCCGATATTCGTTATTTTAATGATTTTAGCGTCATTTTCCACCGGAATAGTTTCAAATTTGGTATTTGAGGTTCGTAATGGATACTGCAGCCTAAGACAGAAAATTGTCTATGCAGGTCCAGGTCTTCATATAGCCCCCATATAACGATACCCCCCGATATTCGGTATTTTGATGATTTTAACGACATTGCTTAACGGAATCGTTCCAAATTTCGTATTTGAAGTTCGCAATGGATACTACAGCCTAAGACAGAAAATTGTCTGTGCAGGTCCACGTCTTCGTATAGCTCCCATATAACGGTACCTCCCGATATTCGGTATTTTGATTTTATCGACATTATAACCGATTTTTTTTAAGTTTTGCATTTGAATATTGTAATAGCTTATGGCAAATGTTACCTACGCAGGTTCATGTCGTCGTATAGACCCTAATATAATAGCTACATTCGGTATTTTTAAGAATTTAACAGAAGTTTCAACGGATTTTATTGTTTTTGAGAATTGCCAAATTCGTTCCAAATGGTGGAGGGTATTCAAAGTTCGGCCCGGACGAACTTACAGCTTTTTTACTTGTTTTTTTTTTACTTTTCCACTAACACTTTCATCACATTTTAAGCCGTTATAAATTTCATATTTTTTTAACCAAAATTGGTGCGATATTTACCCCACATACCTTGGGAGAACCCGACGGCCTCGAGGCCGTGGGGTAAACCAAAGGGTCCCAGTGATGGCATCGGCATGCCCGGCGGCAATGGTCCATGTGGCACGGAATGATGCGGATGCGGTCCACCATAGCTGTGCGGATGGGGACCCAAGTCCCCGGATTTTAGGAAACCGGCAGCCATTAAGGCTTCTGTTGAGTGTAGAGCCACGATGAGGCCGTGAACAGGTCAACAGGTCAAAAATGAAAAAGAACTGTAAAAGAGGGACAAAGAGAAAAATAAATAAAATTAATAATTTATTAATTAATTGTTAATTTAAATGCATAATAAATTCTGGAAAAAAAGGAAAATGGCGTACTTAATGTATAATTATCAAAAGGGGTTGGTGTTGTTGTTGTTGCTGTTCTTGTGGAATAAATTAAATGCCCATAAATTTATAGGTTAGGCAAACTGAAACGAGGAAACAACAGAAAATTCCTTTTGTGGACAGATGCGTTATTAATTTATATGCCACCGTTGTTGTTGCTTTTGTTGTTCGTTCTTTGTTTGGTTGGATGGTTGGCTGGTTGGGCATGCGTTCAAGCAAGCGTGTAATTTTAGGGTCGTTGGATGCGTGTTTGTGTTATGGCCTGGATTTCACAACTCATTTGGTTCAAGAAGAGACGACGAAGATTGCATTCACAGACTTGCAAAGTATAATTCCTTTCTGGGTGACCCTAAACAGAGGTGGTGGTTATGATGATGCCACTGATGATTGTGATGACGATGATAATATTCCCGTTGCTTTGTTTTGATGTAAACTCTACGACGGTGATATGGCTAATGCTGGGTGGTGTGCGGTAGACCAATAACCAATGCCGTATGAAAATGTGAAAATGGGCCACTGCGTTAAGTGACAAATCGCTGGAGGGTACCTAGAGGTGTGGACATGTTAAGAGCCTGGCTTACGGCGCTGAGAGTGTGAGTGAAAGGGCGAAAAGGGAGGGAAGAGGGAGATAGAGAGTTCTTATGTGTGTTTCAGGCAAAAATAAGGACTTCCTTGCAAAGCCAGGATAATAGTAGCCAGCCATCTATTGATGAGATTTTAATCCTTGGCCAAGGATTTCATCAAGTCCTGGGTTCAAGAATTTTTGCACACAATTTGCTAATTCTCCGTTTTGCGCTTGGCCTAAATCAAAGAAAGGAAAAGGAGAATCTTATGGAATTTTAAGTGTGTGTGTGAATGTGCCTCTGTGTGTTACACAGCGTGTGTGAACTTTTGTCTTCAAGAAAGCCGAAAGTGGACTAATTTTTATGGCTGTCTGTCTGTCCGCCGTCCGTCCCTCCGTTTGCTGGGTGTTCACATCTAAAACCTAATCCCGGCTTTTGGTCTGACAAAGATTAAAACCACACACACCTATGATTAAAACAATGATCATAGGCGAGTGAGTGTGTGTATGTGTGTGTGTATGTGTATATGTGTTGATCCTAGGGTACCCAAATCGATATTCAAATTTCTATTTCCATTTTTTTTTCTTTTTTTGATTTTCAAAACAGACCTACCGACCGACCGGCCAAAGATCACACACAAAACACATTTTAATAATAGAGCATAAAATTTGGTTGTTTTTTGAGCCAAAATTAACAAACAATTTGTCAATGCTTGAAATATGTTTTTATTTCTCTTTCTTTGTGCCGTTTTTCTTTTCTTTTTGCTTTTTTTTTAATTTTTGTGAAAACCAAGCAAACACAATGACAAATGAATTGTTCGAAATGAAATGTTGATTTGAATTGAAAAAGTGAAAACAAATAGAAACGTGATTTTCTCTCTGTGTCTCTTTCGCTCAGTTCAGCTCTTTTTGTGCGGGCCAAGATTCAAATTCAATGGTCATTATTTCAAATTTACATCTAAATCTTTGGGCCATTCTTAGGGCACGTTTTGTGGCCAAGGAAGCTGGCATTGTATTTGTCAACGAGCATTGGATTTCCGGCCAAAAAATTAGAAATAGCCCGGGGGCCTCAAGCTGTTACACAAATGAACTTGAAATCATGTCTGAAATCAGCATGAGGTTGCAGGGCTACCATAAACCACACAACAACAACAACAACAACTCCAGCACAGACTCAATCAAATTCCATATCATTGTCGCCAATGATTTCAACAAGGTCAGACAAATAGAAATCGATCATCTCATCACACCCGCACTTCGAGCCAAGTCGCCAGCCCAGAGGGCAAAGCAAGCAGGCCAGCAAGAAAAAACAACAATAAACATTTCGGTTATTTTGGTTATGGCCGGGCCTAATGAATGAAAATTGACGTTTGTTATTTCAATACGCACTTTGTAATTACGGTCAAAATAATATTTGTGTTTAACGCCCAGTAGCTTGAGCTTAAAGTTAAGCGTTATAGATAGCAGAAAGCCATGGCTTTGGGGCACTCCAGCAAAGAAATGAAAAAATGTAGAAAAAACACAAAAATAAAACAAAACATTATCTTAATGAAATATTGAGAAGCAGTCGTGGTAGAAAAAATAACTACTGACAAACAACAGCATGGATTTTTTGACATTTGGTGGGAAATGGTGGTGAACTGTGGTTTCCACCCTCCCTCACTCCCTCTTCCTTTCTACAGCATCATTCATATCCACTTCATTATTGTTATTATTAATAACATATGCTTGCTGCCCCCTTTTGGCCAAGTTGTTGTAACTTTGGCTGGCTACTTTTTTTTGGTTTTGTGAAAAAAACACAGTTTGATAGCCTGGTCTACTGGATATTTTAAGCCAGCACGATTAAGTAGTTTATCCAACTGACTGGCCACCACCATCAGAAGCAGCAGCCACCACCACCAACCATCAGCAACAACTCCACATCTGTACCACTTGCTGTGCCGTTAATAAACACCAGCTATGAGATCGCCACAGCAAAAGCGAACAAATGATCTCCACATCACATTACAAATGTTAATGTGCCGGACCCATGTGGACAAAACTTTTACTTGGCGGGAAGGGTTTTTCTTGTTTTTGTTTTTTTTCTTCAGATATAAATATGAATATTTGAAATTGGTTATGGTGTTATATTGGCTTTTATATTCACAATTTTATAGATAATCTTGTTAGTAGAAAAAAAAACCAGAAGATATTTCGGTAGATTGACAAGTGGAATTGTTGGCAGGGTATCAATGAGAGAACAAATTATCCACTTAGAAGAAAAAAAATGATTTTTATGAAGGAGAAACGGAATTTAATGTCAGAACTATATTTTGAATGGATCAATGGGAAAAAATTGATTAGTGTGGAAAAAGATAACAATCTATGAAAGGGGAAAATGCCTGATATTCATGGACTCCCTATATCACAAGTTTTATTCGTTAAATTTTCCTGATGTCAGCAAAGAATAAAATCATTCCTGCAAAAAATTTGAATACTTTTGAAGAAAATCATATAAAAATGGTGAAGAGATTTCGATTTGCCTATGGAATTTTTGATGCAAGGGAATAGAATGGCAAAATGACTCATTTTCGCAGAATTTTGGACACATAATTTTCTGCCATAAAAATAGGTGATCCCATAATTTGGATAAAATTGACTGATAGACAAAATAAAGTCTGTTGGATCCTCTCCCAATTGCCTTTTTATATCAAGAAATTCATTGAGCCGTTTTGGAGTTATGCTGAAACCCTTGGTACTTTTTAAACCTCTAGTCTGTATTTCTCATTTTTCTTCCCCTTGTTATAATGGGAGAAAAAAAAAATAAAATCTTATATTTTAGACAAAATTGGTCAAAGGCCAACTTAAAAACCAATAACATCTCTTTTATTATCAACCTTACTTAAAGAAATCCATCAAGCCTTTCTGGAGTTATTGGAGAAATTGTATGGACACCTTGTTGATATTTCTAATTTTCTCCCTCTCATTATAATTTTATGCTGACCCTAATGGGTGACCAAAATAAAACCCTTATAATTTAGGCATACTCGGTCAAAGGATGATTTAAAGGCCAACCACTTCTCTTTAATTCGCATCTTTACATAAGGAAATTTTTCAAGCCGTTTAGGATTTAGGCTGAAATTGTTGGGACATCCAAATTGAAGCCCAATTTATATTTCTTCTTCCATTCATTCTAAATTTCGGCTGTAAAAAACAGGTGATTTCTATAGTTATCTTAAATTATAGATAAAGTTAGTTAAATGATAATTTAAAGTCCATAAACTACTCTTTCTTTTGCTGCTTTATTCTGACAATTTCACAGAACCGTTCGGGAGTTATGCTGGATTTAGTGGGGAGAACTATAATGAACCCTAATTGAAACTTGCCCTTCCACTTATTATAATTGTCGACTGGAAAAACTGTTATTTTATGTTATAGCGCATTTATTTAGACGAAGTTAGTTAAAGGATAATGTAAAGTTCTTGAACTACTCTTTCTTGTAATCCTTTATTTTCTACATTTCATAAAACCGTTCAGGAGTTATGCTGGATTTAGTGGAGCAACTATAAAATGAACCCTAATTGGTATTAATTGGGAACCTAATTTATATTGACCATTTGTCCCTCTTTGTTAAATGAGCGATTATTATAATAATTCTTAAATTCCGAAAATTGTTATTAAAGGATTACTAAGAGTTCATGAAGTCCTCTTTCAATTATGAATCAACTCAACAAAATCCATTGAGCTGTTTCCAAGTTATGCTGGAATTATTGGGGGAATTTCACTGTAAAATCTAATCATTTTCCGGCTTAATCAAATGGAAGATTACTATAAAAATCCTACATTTTAGACATAAGCATCAAAATGGTAATTTGAAGCCAAGGAAGTCTTCGCTTATTTGCGTTTCTTTTTTTATGGATATTCATAAATCCAATCCAAAGTTATGAGGAATTATTGGAGGCTTCAATATAGCCTGGGAATTTATTTATATTTCTCTCTTATTATGATATATTGCTACATAAAAATAGGATATTACTATATAAATTCAATATTTGTACGAAATTATCATAAGGATAATTTGAAGCCATGAAAATCTTCTTTCATATGGCATATTGCTCTAAGAATTCCATAAACTCGTTCTAGAGTTATGTTGAATTATTTGGAGGAGTTTGAAACCTAACAGTTTTCTCTCTCTCTCTCTCTCTCTCTTTCTCCAAAACACGTATATACAACGTAGCTTACGTCCTATTTCTTACATCCGCAAGCTGTAAAGGAAGAATTTGCCCCTTACTTGATTCTCCACCTTTCCAATTTTTTTTGAAAAGAACCCATATACCCATTTTGG